TTCGCCTTCAGCAGGACGGTGACCTTGAGATCACTTGCATCTGCTCAGCCTCCGCTGGTTCAGATTTCACGGCCACATGTAGGTATTTCCTTTCCTCCACCTCAAACGAGTCACCATCAGGCCAACTCATGACGCCCCAAGTCACAGATGATCCGAGCATCAGGGAACCCATCCACAAATTCTCTTTGGTTTTAGAGTACCGATCTGGACTGTCTTTGGAGGAAGGCAAGTTGGGGGCCCTGGGAATCCCCAGAAGCCTACTGCCAGCCCCTCCACTGCATAAAGGCTGGAACCCTGGCTGGTCTTCTGAGTCCATCCCCTTCCGTACTGTCCCCTCTACCCCGTGTCTCAGGGCAGTATGAGCAGTGGTGCTTTGATCTCTGCATGGGCGGAGGTGTGAGTATGGGGGAAGTGGGAGCACAAGGACAGAGGGCTCAGCCACAGCACTGGGACCACTGTCAGATGTCAGCCCAGCAGATGGGCGCCTCCTTGGTAATGAGCCGTCAGCCACTGTGGGGAGGGGAGGATGGAAGGCCATCTCTCAAGTGCCCTGCAGAGACTCCAGCCCTGGGAGGCAGGAAAGGTGAATGAGATGGTATCTGTGTTTTCTCCTGGCCCTGATGGTCCAGGGTTCAGGCTGTGTCACCTGCTCCTGTGGTCAGCTCCCACCACCTTCTCATGGGCCAGCAAGTGTTGGCATTACAGGGCTTCCTTCCCAGAGTCAGCTTGCTTTCAGGAATCAGAAAAGGCTCCTTTCCCCAAGGAACTTAATTTAGAAGTCTGGAAGGCAATGGCTTTAGTGTCTGGAAGGCCAGCAGCCCAGGGCGGGCAAATCTGAGGATACTGACCTCCCACCAGGGTACCCTGGGGCCCAGCAGAGGACGTGATGGCCTCTCCTCTACAAGCTCAGGGCTCACAAGCCTCAAAGAGAGAAATCGGAAAAACCAGGGGAGGCAGCCCAGTGGGTCCAGTGGGTCGACAGATGAACTGAGGCAAGTGCCAACATGCTGATAAGCTCTGGTGCTTTATTGAGCAGCTGCAGAATTAAGAAAGGGAAGTGGGGTAGGAGACACGATTATGTCCCCACGCAAAGGCTTCGAGCTGGGCTTTGCAGAGGGTATAATTAGTATGGTCACTGGGTCTTAGAGGATGTTTGGCTACTCGGTGGTGGAACTTGCTAAAATGGTGTCCTTTGATAAAGAGAGTGGTGGCGTGGGAGGTAAAGAAGTTCCCTTGTGCTGGGTCTGTGGGCATTTCCAGAAGTCAACAGGTGTGTACTTACTGATCCTGTGTCTTGGGCTGCTGGTCCCTAGGCCCTTACTGTCCCCAAGACCCCGCTCCTACATCCCCGTCCACCAGGGCTGAGCTTAACTCTCAGGGCCGTGGTTCTCTGTTAGGGTCCCAAGGGTGGGAAACTGAGGCTCAGCCAGGGGCACAGCAGAGCCAGAGGATTGGGGGCATCACCGGCCCCCACCACGTGCAGAAGGACACAGGGCTAAGCGGCAGCGAGTGCGTCCTTGATGGCGCTGGTGAGTGGGAAGCGGAGGTTCTGGCCACAGAAGGAGCCCCGGAAGTCATCCAAATCCAAGGCCCACACCATGGCGCCTGCCAGCTGCCTGTTCTTCAGGTACTGCACCTGATGCAGGAGGCCCAGAGGAAGCAGGGCTGGGTTTCCAGGGCCAGATGTGTGGGGTGTGGGGGTGCTCTGTGGGTCAGCAGGCACCTGAGACTGTTCATAACCCAGGTCTGCCCTCCATGCAGGGGACCAGAATGGGGCTGTCTGCAGCAAGGCCGCCCTCCTGCTCTTCACCCCAGAGCATGGCCTTGGGGAAGCTCACCTTGCTTTTGACACTCTGCTGATCATCGTACCCAACCCACTGGTTGCCCTTGGTGGCATAGGGGACCTGCTGGCCGAGGAGTCTCTGGACTGTGGCTCCATGGAGGAAATTGCAGATCTGAGCAGAGAACAGATCAGGGGGCATGTGGGGAGTCGTGCTGAGACTTTGCAAGTCAGAGAGATGTCACTTCCCAAATCTCCTGCAACCCCCAGCGTCATTCTGCAGTCTTACTCTGTCTAGGGTCTGCAGGCAGCAGGCTGCATGCAAATTTATGTAAAAAAGATGTAAATAGCCCAGAGTTCTGGCTGTTGGGGAGGGGGTAGTTCTCATTTTCTTCCACCTTTAATAGGGATGTGGAAATGGTGGTTGGTGCTGAGGACTGGCCACGGCCACACAGGGCAGCAGAGGCTGCACTGAGGCAAGGAGCCTGCCCCGTTCCTGGGCTTAAGGAAGTCCCCAGGCCGGTGGGCCAAGGGCTCTCCCTGGAGCAGACCTGTGCCCGGGCCTGTCCCTGCAGAAAGTGGTTACTGCAAAAGCCTTGACTCTCCCCACCCCCCTCGTCTTCCTCAGGGGTGGAAAGTCAGTGAAGCTTTTTTTTTTTTTTCCCTTAATTCCCAAAGGAGAAAAAGCAGAGATGGAGTTCTGGGGATCATACCTCCTTTCTAACCCCATTACCTCATAGTAGGCAAGAATCCCCTCTTCCTTTGTGAACCGGCCTGGTATTCCCGGCCCCAAGATTGGGGCTCCAATACCCGTCCTGGAGGAAGCCAGAGTGAAGCTCTTCCCAAAGGTGGGGATGCCCATCACCAGCTGATTGGCAGAGGCCCCCAGCCTCAGCATGTACCCCACAGCGTAGTCCTGGGTGGGGACAGGAAGGTGCGGGAGCAGCAGTTAGCTCACTGGTGGTGCAAGGGGGATCAGGTGTGGGGACTTCAAGTTTGTGAGAGATAGAATTAGAATACAAGTTTATTTTTGTGCAAAAAAGTCTGAAATCCATGCTTTTTTTTTTTTTTTTTTTTTGGTAATATGTATTTTCCATGCTCTTTCCAAGATCCCTCTTCTATGGTAAATCTGGGAGTCCTTATTTCTCTAGAAATTGATAGCCAGGTTAAAATTAATTTAGGGGCAGCCCAGTAGCACAGTGGGTAAGCTCTGTGCAGGGGAAGCCAGATCTACGTGGCCAACCAGGGTTTGAGTCCCCGCCGTAGGGCTTTAAGCATTAGGCACGTATGCATGCTCAGGGTCCTGAAGGCTGGACAATTTGAGGGAAAAGGATTGTGGAGTGTTTATACTTGGGTCCTCTGGTATAATAATAAAATTTTTAAATTAAAAAAAAATGAATTTTAGGGACCAATAGGTGATATAGTGGTTAGGGTGCTGGACTCCTGCATGGCTGACTGTGGTTTGAGTTCCAGACCTGGCAGCCTGAAACTCATGCTGGGCCCATGTGTGTGCATGCCCAAAATCCTGAGAGAAGAATGGAGAAGAAGGGATTGCAGCGTGGCCAACCCCCCTGGAGGGTGATTTCTCACTTTCTCTTGCTCTGTCTCTCTCTGTTTCTCCAGCAGCTACATGTACCCTATAGCAAAAATTTGTCAAAAAAGTATTTTTTTAATAGCTTTATTCTTAAAATTTTTTTAGGCATAGGAAGGGATTATTACTATTTGAGATAGTCAGAAATCAAGTGATTGGTTCAGGTTGAACAGCAAGCAACAGCAGGTAGGGGCTGGACTCCTTCCTCAGAGCATGGCCTCCTTCCCCGCCCTCACTAAGTCCACCCTATAGGCCACATGCCTGCAGCAATGGAGAATGCAGACTTTGGACCTCAGTGTCCTCGTCTGTGAAATGGACCTCATCCCTCTCTTGCAGGATTGAACTGAGGAGTAGCAGGGTTGGTGTGCAAGTGCCGACAGGTGGCAGGTTTGTTGGGGCCCCTCTCCCTGGCTCTCCCTCCTTCTAGGTACTCACAACATTGCTGAATCTATCAGGGCTTGCATCTTCCTGTCCTCGGAACAGGGGGCTGTGGTGTCCCGTGGTCTGGCGCCAGGCTCCGTGGAAGTCGTAGGCCATGATGCTGATGAAATCCAGGTGTCTGGGGAGGCAAGGGTGGAGGGCGAGGCAGGAGGTTAGAACAGCTCTTGATCAGCACTATGTGAGGAAGGGAAGCCGGCAACCGACAGCAGCTGTCCTGCCCCCTGGACCCGTCCCCTGTGCCATGGCAGGGTTTAGGCTCAGGGTCTCCCAAGTGGCCCCACCACAGGGTGCAGGTAGTAGCCTGCTGTTGCACGGTGCTGGAAGCCACATAGCTGACTGCAGGTTCAGACCCAGAATTGATCGGAAACATTTCAGGTGTGCGCATGCAAGCCCCTAGCTGGAGGCTGGAGGAGGGGACTGAGGGCGACCTTGCAGAGGATGCCTGTCTCTGTGTGTTTCTGCTGCTCTGTCTCTTTCATGAAACAAATAAATGAACTTAAAAAGAAAGTGAGAAAGGGTTCTTCCATTAGGCCCTGGTACCGGTTTGGGAGCGGGCCTGCATGTCAGCCTACCCTCCTCTCCTACCATCTCGCCTGGGAGTGAGCAAATTAGGAGTGGCAGCTGACACCTTGTGGGGTGGGAGCCCCAGCACGGGGTGAGGGAGCCAGAGCCTTAGAGACACTGAAGCGGGAGGAAGTCTCTGCAGCGCACCGGTGAGGGACTGCAGGTGGGTTGGGGGAGTTGGGTGAATGGCCAAGAGCCTCCTCTACGCGTCCATTGAGGCCCGAGTCTGCACCTCCCCAAGACTCTAAAGATTCTAAAGTCATTTGAAGTGTCTTTGCTCCTCGTGGCTGGGGTCTCCCAAGCTCCCTGGGCTGTTGACTGCTCATTCTCAAACACTTAAAGGAGCAGGATGGGCAGGAGGGGTGAGGTGGGGCAGACAGGAAAGGGGGGCACCCAAGGGCTCCCCACATTCTAGAGACAAAAGGCGTTATTGTGGCCGTGTAGCCTCTCCAGGGAACAGAACTCCACTCAACCCGGGTAGAGAAAATGCCTGGCTCCTTTTCCAAAATATTTTTTCTTTTTTAAAAAAGAATCATTATTTAATTTTATTTATTATTATTTTTAAATTTGCTATAGGGCATGTGCACTCACTAGTGAGAGAAAGGGAGAGAAAGAGAGCATGAGAAAGCAAGTCACCAGATCCAGGACTCGAACCACAGTCGACTGCATAGGAGTCCAGCACCTTAACCACCACGCCACCCTCTGGCCCTTCCTAAAAATTTCACAGTAGCTCTCTCAGTGGGCCGACAACAACCCAGTGAGAAAGGGAGGGCAGGGATTATTAGGCTCCAGTTTACAGATGGAAAAACTGAGCAGTGTGGGGCAGTAACTTGCAGAGGTTTTGGAAGAACTGAGACGAGAAGTCTGATCTCGAGAATCTGAATCAAGTGCTCTAGCAGAGCGGAGCTGGAGGGGTGTCTGCAGAGGTGGCTGGGGAGGCTGCCCAGCCAAGACTCACTGGGCTAGGGCGGCGATGTCGTAGCCGCTGTCAATGGTGACCTTCCCAGCGGGCACTGCTGCGCTGAGCAGGAGCTGCTCTGTCCCTGGCTGGGCTTCCTTGGCAAATTCGGCCTTCATTTCCTAGACGGGAGGCAGGCAGGTGGGTGAAGGGTTCCCAGTGGTCTCTGACCACCTCAGTGACCTTCCCCTTCCTGCCCGGGGCTAATGGAAATGATAAAGGGGCACTTCAGTGCTCCCATCCTCGGGGCTGCCCATCCTTTTCCTAAGATACTGGTTGGACCTCTCATCCTCAAAGTCTATGCACACCCATCAGCTCAGTTACTCGTCTGCGGAGACCGTCGGAACAGTGCGATCCCAGTGGCCCTCGGATGGTGTTGGAAGTCACTTGTCTTGGGTCTATGGTTTGTTCTAACTGGCATGTGAAATCACACAATTAAAGCGATTGTGTCAGTAGCTGATAAACCTTTTGTTTAGACTTTCAATCTGCCCCTGGGGTAATTGCAGTTGCTGGGGCTCCGCCCCCTGGGCGCAGTGCATGCTGGGTAGCAGTGGCATCAGGTAGCATCAGGCTGGGACTGGCTGGAGGATGGGGGACACTCCACAGGCAGGGACGCGTGGGGGCTCTGCTCAGTCACGATCTCTTAGGAGACCCCATCTCCTCCCAGGGTCACGGGACTGAAGCCCCTCTTTGCTTGTCCTCAGGAAGGCGCCAGCTACGGACACTCCCAGGGCCTGCCCTCCTCCCTGCCCCCCATCTGACCAGCACCTTGACCAGGGTGGAGAGATGCCGCTTGTCTCTCCGTCCAGGGTAGAGCCAGGCCAGGTCCAGCCCATCGAAGCCGTGGGTCCGTAGAAATGGTGGCACCGACTTGATGAAAGTCCTGCGACTCTGGGTGTTGGAGGCTATTTTGGAAAATCTAGGACAAAAATCACTCCTGTAGAGTGCTAGGTGCCTCGGCTCCTCTGGAGAGGCTTCCAGGGCCTGCAGAGCAGGAAGCCTGAGCCCACACGGCTCTGGAGGGGAGGTGGGGACAGGACCCATGTCCATGCGTCTTAGAGAGAGCGTGTCGTTTGGAGCCCGACATGCCTGGTTCCCAGGCCTGGCTCTGGCACCGACGAGCCAGCCATGCTGAGATAGCTATGACCGAGTTTCGGTGTCCTCATCTGAGAAATGGGAACACCTCATAGCGCTATTGCAAGCACTTGATAACGGGGAGATGGCGTGGCAACGCTCCACCTCCTCTCCCAGGCCCACTGCAATTCTGCCTGTGCCAGGAGTCCTCCCAGGGCCTCTGTACCCCCAGATCTCTCCCCTGGCTTCCATTCTTCTCCTTCCAGCCTGGCAGTAGTCCCTGAAGTTCTGTTTGGGGTCTGAGAGGTAGCAGGGAATCAGGAGATCAGCCGTCAATTTGCTGTGTGACTCATGGCAAGTCCCTCTCCCTCTCTGGGCTCTGATTTCGTGGCTATACACCAGGGAGGGCCCTGACAACCATTTAGGCCTCTGTACTTAACCATGTCGGAGCCTTCACAACTCCTGGGCAGTGGGTGGGGTGGGCCAAGCCTCCTCACTCCTACCCCGTCATCTTCTAGTCATGCCCTGGAGAATGAGTCCTACCTTTCAGAGCCAAAACTCCATCCTCCAACCGACAGGAGGGTTTTCAGGTTGGGGTTCCTGTGGGGCACAGGGAGGTGGGGAGGGCAGGGATGGGGTGAGGTAGTCGTGACACCAGGTAGCCCCATGTCTGCAAGGCCAGAGGAGGTGTCTGACTTTGGACGAGAGGCTGGCGGAGGCCTCTGATTTCTTCCCATCCCTGAGGTTCAGTATTCCGGGAGATACAGACTGGCAGGGACTCTGAGGCGTGCTGCTCCTGGGGACCTCCAGAGTCACAGGTGGTCTCCAGGCTTCCTGGGGAATCCCCTCAGGGGAAGGAGAAGGTCTCCTTTCCCAGGGGACTCAGCAGTGCCTCTTCTGCAGCCTGCCTTTGTGACCAGCCCAGCCCTGCCCAACGCCCCCTTCATCGCCTCCCATTTAAGCCAAAGCCCTCCAATTCTCTCAGAGGTGGGTACTGTGGCCCTCGTGCATCATCTTGGGGGGGTTGCCCTGCCTTGGGAGCGGCCTGGCTGACCCTCGGTCTCCCTCCTGTCCTGGCCAGCCCATGGCCCAACCTGTTCTTGAGTGTGTTCAGTGTGTCGTAGAGTGTCACATCGTTCCACTCCCAGGTGTCGATCTCATCGTGGCTGATGTTGGCAAAGCTGTAGATGACGTGGGTGCAGAGGAAGGGATCGATGGCGTCTGGGAAGCAGCTCCCCTCCCCTTCCCGGTACTGGGACCAGCTGGTGTAGTAGCAGACCAGCTTGTATGCAGAGCCTGAAGGAGAAGTCTGGGGTGAGCCTGAGCCAGGGAGCACCAACAGGTGGGGTACGGGAGGCAAAGCTGCAAGCAGTCACAGTCTTGAATGAAGGGGCTGGTCAAGTCCCCCTGCCTCTGGAGAGCGCTCTGATGAAAATGAGCCTATTTCCAAATGCTGAGGAAAGACCAAACACAGTGGGTGTATGTGCGGCAGACTAAGAACAGGGCACGGTGGCCCAGAGGGGAGCTGACCAATACAGTGAAACAGGACTTGGTGCAAGGACAGGAGGTTTCTTGGAGGCAGTGGCTTTGAAAGAGAGGAGCCAGTCCAATTCAACCAGTGTGAAGAAGGCCCAGGGTGGGCGCAACTGTGGCGGCCCAGTGTTTGCACCCTGCTCCGCCATGCTGGACACCATGTGGAGGATCAGGGTTTGGTTCCCTAGTTGACCTGACTACACCACGTGTACCTGTCGGTGATCCTGGTGGGCTGGGAACTACTAGAAGGAGGGTCGTGGTAGGAGACCCTATTGAAGGGACTTGTCTCTCTCTCTTTCTCTCTCTCTTGTGAAAGAAAAAAATTAAAGAAAGAAGGAATAGGGACCAGCAAGTGGTGTAGTGGTTATACCGCTGGACTCCCACATGGCCAACTGCTGTTCGATTTCTGGACCTGGTGACTTCAAAATCACACTGGGCACATGCGTGTGTGCCCAAGATCCCGGGAGGAGAAGGGAGAAGAAGGGATTGTGGTGTGGCCATCCTCCATGGAAGGTGATTACTCACTTTCCTTCTCACTGTCTCTGTTTCTCCTTCCAGTGAGCACATGCTCCCTAAGGCAAAAACCTCTATAAAATAATAATAGGAACCAGTAGATGGTTACATTGCTGGACTCCCATGTAGATGACTGTGGTACGAGTCCCGGACCTGGTAGTTAAAACCCTGAGAGGAGAATGGAGGAGAAGGGATTGCGGATTGGCCATCCCCCCTTGGGGGTGATTTCTCACTTTCTGTCTCTCTGTCTCTCTCTGTCTCTTCGGTGAGCGCACACAGCCTATAGTAAAAATCTCTCTCTCTAAAAAAATAGTAAGCTAAAGAAAGAAGGAATGAAGGAAAAGAGAAAGGTAGAGAAAGGAAGAGGAGAATGGAATGGAAAAGAAAGGAAGGTAAAAAGAACTTAAAGAAGAGACCCCTGGCCTGGCTGGGTTCATCTCTGCCTCCAGGGAGGCGTGTCCTATCAGTCCCAGGCTCCTTTGGGAGGGCTCCCAGGCTGGGCAGTGTCGCCATGGCTCACCAGGTCCTCCTGCCCTCTTGGCCACGAGGAAAACAGAGGAGGAACTCTGAGCAGCCACCGCATTCCTGTTAGCGGTTCCCGGGGTTCCCGGGGGTGTTGGTCAGAGCCTTCACTGCCCCGAGATGGCTAAGTTGGCTATTTTGAAAACTGGCCAATACACAGAGGAGCAGAGGACAGGGTGATAAATGTGCATACACACCTCACCTCAGTCATTGAACAAGCACGACTCTGGAGCCATTTGAATCACCCTAGACCAAGGAAAGAGCTGCCTGGTGCCGCCCTGCCCTGCATCCTCCCCACCTCCCAGTGCCAGACCAGGGGTTACTCACAGCACTGGAGCAGCAGCAGGACCGCCAGGCCTGGAGAGAAATCCAGGGTCAGGTTGAGTGCCTCCCTCCTCTCTCTTCCCTCCTCCCTCCTTAGACTCTCCCCATCCCGACTCCCTTCCCTTCCCCCCCCTCCCCTCTCCAGTGCCTTGCTCCCCACAGCGGGCAGGAGGCTGCCTGCTCTGCTGGGTTCTCTCAGTCATTGAACAAGCACGACTCTGGAGCCATTTGAATCACCCTAGACCAAGGAAAGAGCTGCCTGGTGCCGCCCTGCCCTGCATCCTCCCCACCTCCCAGTGCCAGACCAGGGGTTACTCACAGCACTGGAGCAGCAGCAGGACCGCCAGGCCTGGAGAGAAATCCAGGGTCAGGTTGAGTGCCTCCCTCCTCTCTCTTCCCTCCTCCCTCCTTAGACTCTCCCCATCCCGACTCCCTTCCCTTCCCCCCCCCTCCCCTCTCCAGTGCCTTGCTCCCCACAGCGGGCAGGAGGCTGCCTGCTCTGCTGGGTTCTCTGGGCTGTTGGGCCCTCAGCCTGAAGCACACCCCAACTAGAGACCTGTCTGAGCTGCCCTCGGCACCATTCTGGCTGCCGCAGAGGCAGAGAGGGAAGTGACAGCACTTCCCGTGCCAGGTCTCCCGCGCACTGCCCAGACAGGGCCTCTTCCCTGGCCACACTTCCTTTTTATACCTGTCTCACTCCACACCCCCGCACGCCAAGCCATGCCTTTTACAGGAACTGATCTGTGTGTCAATGAAGGAGCCATGGAGGCACGGAGTGCGGAGGGCCCTCAGGGAGGATTGAGACATTTCGGAGTTTTGAAAACTGTGGGCCAGGTCTTCAGAAAGCACCAGGATCTGAGGGCTCCCGGGCTGGTGAGTCAGGCGCCCTTCCAAGGGCCCTCCTCCTCCCCGGCTATGACCCCACAACTGGCTTCTTGCCAGCAGTTTCCCGGTCTTTCTGGCAGCTCTGCCTTGGCATCTCCAGGCTCAGTCAGGCCCTTGGCCAGGTTGAAACTGGGCACAATTGAGTTACATAACCACAGCGCCCCAGCAAGGTTGCTGTCTTCCCGCCAGGCTCAGTGTCCCCTGACCCCCACACAACCAACTTTCTGTCTCTGGGCTATTTCTGTAGTCTAGGAGCTTAGGAAAGGGCCAGAGAGCCTTGGGGGTGGAGGTAGGAGTCGGGGGTGGGGGTAGGGTGGGAAGGAAGCAAAAAGCCCCAAGCTGAGAGCTCCCTTTTGGGTCCAGGTGCCCTCCTTTTAGCAATTTATAGGCTGATTATTTAAAGGGCAAGCTGGGGGGACTGGCAAGTAGCATGGTGGTTAAGGGTGCTTGACTCCCACATGGGGCAACTGCGGTTCAAGTCCCGGATCTGGCAGCTTGCTATCTTACTCCCCTGCCCCCCACCCTCTCTGGTCAAGTTAAAAATAAATAAAGTTAAATAAAAATAATTCTTAATTTTTTTTTTTTAAAAAGGACGAGTTGGGAGGGGACAAGACAATTCCTGAGGATTCTCTGAGCTCTGTGCTGTTTGCTGCTTTTTTGAGATGCTGGAGAGGATGAGTGAGGAAGCTCTGGTGCAAGCCCCGGGGCTGCAGTGAGGCCCCCGGAGTCATACATACGTTGGTGATCGCCCCCAGGGAGCAGCAGCATGGATAGTCCCGGAAGATCAATAACCTCCACTCCTCCCTCAGCCCTGTACTGAATGCCAGGCCTGATGATGTGCCCCACCCATCCTTCATCACTTCCCATCGTGCTCGGGAGAAGACCAAGACCTCTTAAGGCTCTGCATAGTTTGGCCCCTGTTTGTGGACACTTTCTTTGGCCAGAGTTCCAGAACAACTCCATTCTTTGCAGGATATAAATTAATTAATAGGCAGTGAGTGAAAAGTTGAGAACTCCAAAAGCCATCCTGGGTCAGAGGGCTTCTCAACAAATCCCTTTGTGTTTACAGTGACGTTAGGTAAGAATCAGATGCCCTTCTCACCAGTTTCCAGTTCCCCTCCAGATGAGGTCTCCTCGCCCTCTTCCTTCCCTCTCTGTGTTTCTTTCTCTGAAGCTCAGACAACTCCTCCCCTTTGCTGTAAGAAGAGTGGACAGACAGTGGCTCCTCCAGAGTCATGCCGTATGAGTGAAAGCAGGGCCAGTCCCTGTGCTTGGGAAACAAAGCAGGGGACTTCAAAAAGTTCTTGGGAAAGATGAAAGTATGAATTTATTTTGGTGCAAAAATTTTGGAAAGCCACATATAATTTTTTCATGGTCTGTATTTTCCATGAACTCTTTGAAGATCCGGCCTTGTACAGTCTGGCAAAGAAAATGAGAATTAAACAAAGGATAACAGACACCAATTGATCCCAGTTCAGTGAGGCAATTCTGAGGCTTAGGAGACCTTATAGCAGGAGGTGTTGTGTGTGTGGTTGTTTTTAGGGGGGTGGGCGTGGGGTGGGCAGAGAGGGCTTCCTTATGGAGATGACGTTTAAGTGAAGAAGGAGGAAGGGTTGGTGTCAGCCTGGCAAAGAAAGTGTGTGAGGAGGAGAAACAGCAGACATGAAGAGTGGGGAGAGGATTTCATGTTCCAGAGTTTGGAAGGATTCAAGAGTGGTTGAGGCACCACACGGAGGGGGTTGTTGCTGAGGGAGGTATGAGATGAGGCTGGGTCTGCAGCCTGCAGGGGGTTGGGGGGGAGACAGACTCATGTCTCAGAGGAGCAGAATACACTTCGTGTGTGGGGATGACGCTTAGAGGAAAAGGACCACTTCCCGGGACCCCTGAGCAGCCTCTCAGCCACCCTCCTTTTGCATAGGAGGTCAGAGCAGTCAGTGGGGTTAATGCCCAGCCAGATATGTGAGCAGGAAGTGCCCATTTTTACAGGCAGGTGTCTTTCTCCAAACAGTGGGCTCCTGCCTGGCAAGAACTAAACTCATTTCCAAATCCTCAACCCCGACAGTGTATTGGCGTCGGCACTGTTGATGACCCAGAGGCAGAAATATTTAGACAAGAAAACGTGTGAAGAATGGAAGGAAATTGGGTTTCCAAAAGACTGGCTCTTCAAATACAAAACAGCAAATATTTAAAGGGAACAAGAGATGGTTCAGGTTATCATGTGACAGCAATCAGGCATGTCTTCCCATGATCACCAAACCATAACTTTCTCCATTCATCAGCATAGGCTAGCAGGAATAATGGGGAGAGGAGGTTCAGAAACGTGGGGTCCCACACTTAGGGGAAATAGTCAAAGCTCACTGTTTTGGAGTCCTGAACGTCTCAGGATAACCTGTTATTTTTAGCTTATCTCCATACGTAAATAACCCATGATCCTACCCCACAGTAGAACTCAGTCATGGATGAAGCAGAGCGAAGTGTCAGGTTTTCTTCTACAGTTTTCCCTTCCTTGTTGGCAACTTCCTACCACCGAGGCATGGATTGCACTGTGCAAGTTGCCTAACAATGTTTGATTCAGCATCATTAAATTGATATTTGATATTTTGTTTTATTCAACCGAAATGTTTTCCTCTCGGCATAATAGAAAATGTTGATTAGTACACACGGACTTCCTTCGTGCATGGCCAGCAAAGCTAGACCCACAAGTGTTAAGGTTTTGTAGTGGATTCCTGCCTGGAGGTTATGTAAAGCTCCCAGGGCTGGGAATTACTTCCATGTGTCAAGTAATTATGTAAAGTCTTTATAAGCACTATTTTTTGGTAAGATTCCTGGCCTGCCAGGAATTGAACATTTTCACTACCTGAAAGGCGGAATTCCTAAGTCATTAAGTTGGGAAGTCTTCTAAGTGTCAGTCCCACATGGAAAACATAGTCTTTGCTTTTCTTTCTCTTTCTTTTTATTTCTCTCTGTCTTCTTTCTTTCTTTCTCTCTTTCTTTTTTCTTCATTTCTTTTTCTTTCTTTCTCCTTCCTTCCATTTTTCCTTCCTTCCTTTCTTTTCTTCTTCTCTCTCTTTCTTCCTTCTCGTTCTTTTTCTTTCTTCTCTCTCTCTCTCTATCTTTTAACTTGCCAGAGGGTGCTTGCACTCACCAGAGAGTGAGTGAGAAAGTACCTCCCTGTGGAGCGTGGTCATGAGGTAGTCCTTTCTCCTCCATTTCTTTCTCCTTTCAAAATTTTGGGTATGCAGGCACACATGCCTGGATTGTTTTCCTTTTTCTTTTCTTTTCTGTTTTTAGAGGTTTTTGCCATAAAGCATGTGTGCTCACTGGAGAGAGAAAAGAGACTGTTAGGGGGGTGAGAAATCACCCCCCAGGAGGGGCAGCCATGCTGCAATCCCTTCTTCTCTGTTCTCCTCCTGGAATCTTGGGCATGCATGCACATGCATCAGGCATGATTTTCAAGCCACCGCATCCAGGGCTCAAACCATGGTTAGCCATGTGAGAGGCCAGCAATGTAACCATTATGACAGCTGCTGGCCCCCTGGCTTGTTTTTCAAATCCCCAGTCCAAGACTCAAACCATGCAGTCAGCCATGTGGGGTCTGGCTACCTTAATCACCATCCCACCAGCTGGCTCAATCTTTGCTCCTTAATAATGTACTCGTATACTTGGATGGTAAGAAACGGAGTAGATTCATATTGCACCTATATAAATAACCTACATGATCATAAGTGTGTATGGGGGAGGAGGCTGGTCATGCTGTAATCTTCCTCCTCCATTTCTCCTTCTTGTTGGAATTTGGGCCATGAGTACGCATGTTCTTGGCTTGGTTTTTTCAAGCCATCAAGGTTAAAAACTAACTGCACTTGGCCATGTGGGCTCTGGCTCCCTTAACCACTAGGTTACTGGGCCAGGCCCCAGAAAACTTTTTCACCCACATATTCTGACATGCAAGGAAATCTCAGAATCATTGGACAAACAGTCCCTGAAGAAAAGGCTATCAAGGGTATCGGATTCCAGAAACCTGAGCTACCGCCCTGTCATAGAAATTACCAATGATTGGGCCCTAGAATGAAACCCAGATCCCAACTCCTGCAGCTACTAGCATGGGTACAATTGGTCACGCACCATCAGAATCAGAACCAGAAACAGATTTGGCAAGACTCAGGCCTAGCTCTACATGGCGCACACATTTAGAGGAACTGGGGAAGGGTGAGCCGGAATGCCTGCATTCAGACATGGGTCAGGTGTCTGTCAGCTCCATCAGTCGGAGCCAGGAAGCCAAGAGTGTGGTGGGACCTCCAAAAAGAACCTGTCGAAGGAGGACCAGAGACCTCCATTTAGAAAAGGAAAGAAAGGGACCAACGGATGGAGTAACAGTTACATCTCTGGACTCTCACATAGCCAACCTTGGTTCAAGTCCTGGACCCAGTGGCTTCAAAATCACACTGAGCACATGTATACATGCCCAAGATCCCAGGAGGAGAATGGGAAAGGGATGGCTATGTGGCCATCCCCTCTCCCACCCAGGGGGTAATTTCTCACTTTCCCTCTCACTTGTGTCTGTTTCTCTCTCTCTCTGGTGAGTGCACACATACCCTAAAGCAAAAACTTAAAAAAAAAAAAAAAGAAAGAAAAGAAAAGAAAGAAAGAAAAGAAAAGGGAAGAAAGTGTCCACTTGCGTGGAGTGTCAGGGAGACCGCTTTCAAATGGAGCTGACTTGCCAAGTACGAAGCACAAGTATTTAAAGAAAAAAATCCGAAATGACCAAGGTCACCACGTTTACATTAGTGACATCTCTTCACATGCTCCTCACGGGCACAGCGCCGCCTGACGTTAACACGGCCCGCTCAGGGATCAAGTTGTTTGGGTAAGTTGTCCAGATTTCTGGGAAGTGATCAGGCTCATTAGTTTGG